CTCTAAATAAAATATTTAAAAGGTTAGGGATGTGGCTCAGAGGTTAAGTGGCCCTGGTTCAATCCCCAGTATCAAAACAACAAACAAACACTGTGAGGAAACTGGGAATCTGCTTTCAAGATAGGAGCACTAGGGGGCCATACACGTACACTCTGTGAGATAAGGGTTGGCTCCTTGAATACCACAGAATACCCTGAAATGTTTCCTTAATCTCCTCCTAAGAGAGGTTAAAAACTCATTGGCGGGGCTGGGGTACAGCATAGCGGTAGTGTTTTTTTAGCATGTATGTGGCTCTGGGTTCAAACCTTAGTATTGCAAAACATTGGGGGAAAAAAAAACTCATCTGGGAAATTCTGACAACAGCAGGTGGATTAGAAATGGACCGTTATTCTCTGACTAGCCACCTTGGTGATGAGCCAAGCCTTCGGGGTGGTGGTGGGGACTTGTCCCACTGGAGGTAATTTGTGTCTGTTATAGCCTAGTCCGGTGCTGAAACTTCTTCCAACCACCCTCCAGGGCAGTTCTGGGGCACAACCTTCCCACCTTTCAGCTTAGGTCTTCTTTGTGCCTGTGTTGGAGAGAATGGCTGAGGTTAATACCCTCAATGCCTGACTCGTATTTTATTCTTGGATCCCAGGACAGCAAAAACAATCCAGATAAAAAAACAAACATTCAAGCCTCCATACTGCTGTTGCTCCTGTGTCTCTGTGTCCACTCCAGGCAGACTGCTGCCCCTTCTCAGACAATTTGAAATTTAAACAGAACTTCTTTCATGGTGTGTGTGTGTGTGTGAGTGTATGTATGTGTAAGCATGTGTATGTTAATTCCAATGAAGCATTCTGAGGAAAAGGATACCATGATCCTATTTCTAGAGCCTGAAACAGGGAGGGAAACTAAACCAGGCTCCTGAAGCCATTACAGTTGGATATAAACCCTTACAGTTCTATATCCTCAGTGTTGGGCATGAGGACCTGAGGCTCAGAGGGGTATGCTATCAGCATGGTGTTCACTACTACTGCTCCTCCTTTTACTGGCTTGTGTGCCCTCTTTTCCTTCTGAAGGGCAGAATCAGGAAGGAAAGATTCAGATAGACTTGTGACCAGCAGCTCCTGAATAAGATGAGTTCCAGGGAGCAACTGTAATGACACAGAGATTTGCAGTCAGCCCCACTTAGGGCAAACCTCACAAGTCATGGCCTTGGTGGCATTTCTGGCAGTAGTGGATAAGAGCAGGAAGGAAGAAATGTGTGTGTTCTCTTTTGGTGGTCACACAACCTCTCTGAAACTTGGGTCCCCCAAACACCATTATCCACAACTGTTAATTGCCTCCCTAGGGAGCATTAAGGACCAGAGCCAGGCTCAGTGAGAGAGAAAAAGACAAGAACATAGTAATATCACCTGTTTACATTTGTTTAACACTTTGAATTTTCCAAAGCCTGTTAACATTCATTTTCTTATCTAACCCCACAACAGCCCTGTGAGGCAAGTCAGGTAGCAAGTGATTTGTCCACACCCACACCAGTGTTAGGGGCTGAGCTGACCCATATAGCAGCTTTCCCAGCTCTCAGGCCAATATACCTTTTGTTTCAAGACACACAGTTCTTTATGCCAGCCAAACACAGGAGCATCAGGGGCACTGAGCCAGAAGCCTCCCTGCTCCCTAAGCTTACAGAGGGGCATCAGAAAAGCAGCAGCTGGGGCATCCAGACCAGGGGGTCCCATGAAGACCAAGCAGGGAAAACAGAAGGGCAGGAGTACTAGAGGTTCAAGGTCTTCAGTCAGCACTATCAACACCTCTCACTTGAGCATACACTGTGCTCCCAACATATCTTGACCTTTGTCAGGAGCTTGGGCCTGCCTAATTTACTGAGCAGACTCTCAGTGCTTGCTCCAGAGAGAAGCTTCAAGGTACAGCTAGGAGGCAAGACGCCTGACTCCCTCCTCTCCCACAGTGCCTTCCCATTCTGTTACATTTTGCAGACCAAGAAGAGGGGGAAGGTGAGGGCTGGCTGACTCAGACTGCAAGTGCTTAGAGATCTGGAGCTCAAAGGCCCCAGCACCATTCAGCTAATGATTATTATTAACTCTGAACAGGCCTTGGCACAGCAGCCAGCTGGCTCTGGGAGGATGCCTGGATCTCCCACAGTGAGGTCTAGAAAACAAGACCCACGGCAGCCATGCATGGGGGTGGCAGGATGGGACAATGAGAAAGGACAGACAAGCCAGTGTCAGGGAGTGGCAAAGGGTGATCTGCCTTGTGAAGGGGTGGGGAGAAGGCACAGGCTGGCAAGTGATAGCAGCCTGTCTTGGATAGAGCTGAAAGCCAAGGAGGTGAGGCTGGAAGACTGCCTTAGACGCAGAGCTCCTGCCATTCAGTACCACCCCCAGTCCCTATGGGGCTCAAGGGAAGGGGTGGTTATAGGAATGATGGGGGCTTAGGAGGGGTAGGCAAACCCAGAACGGTAATCCCATTACCATTTGCACTTGGATACAAAACCATCTATATTTCTAATGTCCTCAAGGTTGAGTCTGAATATAATCAAACTTGGAACACTATCAAACATGGAATCAGGACTTAGTGAACTCAATATGGAAATTTGTGCAAATGACAATTTTTAAAATTTTAATCTGAGCACCCTGGCTTTTCTTTAAAAAAGCAAAATAGGCTGACTACTAGCAGCTTTCCCTAGTCAAGGAACAAGGGCAAAAGGGCAGCCATTTGCTTCTCCCCTGAGGCCTCTGCCTGCTGCTGAGGAGCACAGCTAGTGCCCCAGACAAGAACAGATTGGGGGGGGGGGCAGAACAGAGGGTGCAGGGAGGAGGGAGCACACAGCCAGGAGGCACAGGCAGCCAGCAGCCACTGAGATCCCAGCTGGAGGATGAGGGCCTTGGCACTGAGTTCTCATGGTTGGTCCAGCTGTTGCCCCAGGATGCGAGGGCAGGTGGTGATAAAGGGAGAAATGGGAAGATGGGAGAGAAGTCCCTTCCCCACCCCATCTAGCCTGCCAGAAAGACTCTCCTGGTGATCTCCCTATACTGTAGTCAGACCTGCTAAGCAAGAGGAGACGACCTGTGTCCTCATTCTCTCTGCCCTGCCCCTGCCCTCCAGGCCCACTGGTCAGAGAGACAACAGCTGGGTCCCTTCCTTCTGCAGAATATATATGATTCCCCTTCCTCCCAGGGCTGGGAATAGACATCAGATGGCACAGCCCCCGCAAACTCCCGGCTGTCAGCACGCCTGCCCGTCCGCCCACCAGCCCCCGCACCACCTGGGTGGAGGCAACACCTCAAGCAGGATTGGGCTTTCCGGCTTCGCCTGCTTGCTCTCAGAGCAAGCTGGTAAACCTTACCTGGCCCTCCCATAGACAGGGTGAGGCCCTCAGCACTGGTCGTGGCAAAGAAAAAAGAATAATTCCTGGATCAAAATGACCCTAGCTGAGAATCTCATTTCATGCAGCAGGAGTACGAGAGGTTCAAGGTCCTCAGTAACATTTCTTCCAACTTCATACCATCTTGGATAGTTTGAGAGCAGAAAGAGGGCAAACAGACAGGTACAATCATCCTCTGTACAGCATGGGCCTCCCTCGGATGCTCAGTGTCTAGAGAGCTCCTGGGAGATGCCAACTCACCCGGGAGAAGTATAGTGAGGACCACTGAGAGAAGACTTCTGCCCTTGCAGTCCCCTTTCCTTTGCTATTCAATCATACCAGCTTCTTGTTTCTGAGGCACCTGGAGAGGAGGCTGGGGCATCCAAGTTACTGACATCAAGGACCAGGCCTCTCTCTGGTCCTGGAAACTGAAGCTCCAGCCTCTATAATCCAGGCCAACCAGAGTTTCCAGTGGGCTGTATCTCCCTGCATAAAAAGCTGCACAGCAGCTTTCCTGGCTCAGCTGTATTCAGTTCTTGCGGTAATCTAGGGAGGTCCCATCTCCAAGTGAGCCAGACCCACAGCTAACCAGTCTGGCATCAATCTTACCACCAAGGGCAACCTGGGGAATGACTTTTAGGAGGGGTCTCTACAGGAAAGAGAATCCAGACTGGTTGGCACCAAACTCAGCCCCTTTTGGGGCCAAAGAGCTGGCAGAAGACTGACAAGGGGAGAAGGGAAACAAGGAAGACTTCAGTTTCCTCAGACCACATTTCCTTGTCCCTTATTTTGTTCTAAAAGCTATGTGCTAAGGCAAAATCCTGAGTCCTAGGAATACAAGATGCTCAGGACTACTTTGCCCTGAGAGTAGATGTCAGGGAAAGGAGCACACCCAGGTTTTGAAGCCTAGATCCAGAGGTGGGCTGAAGGAAGTTCTCAGCCAAGCTAAGGAGCCCAACCAGGAGTGAAAGGCATGGTTAAGTCAATGCACTTCTGCTCCTCCAAAAACTTTAAAGTGACTTTAGTGCCTTCGCCATCTTGGAGTCCTCACTTGGGCCCCTTATCACCACAGTGCCTACCCTTTGTTCCCTGATCCAGGGGACAAACTGGCATAGACTTCTGAAGACTATGAGGGCTGACCTGTCCCTCCAGGGGAGTAAAGGGAGAATGAATGTAAGAATTATATCCTGAGTCTGCTAAGTGGGCCACATAGTCCCAAACTGGGAGGGGGTTCAGTGACATCAACCTGACAGACACTGAATATTAAGAGATGAATGGAACTTAGAGATTGTTCAGATACATTCATGTCACAGATGAGGTCCTGAGATATAGAACTTACCTAAGGGTGTACAACATAGCCTAAGAGAACCATAATCAAGACCCATGGCTTTCATAAAAGGGACTTAAATATCCATGGCTACCCTTCATAACTTATAGGAACCCAACTCTTTATCAGGCACACAATCAAGAAATCACCACTACCACCACCACCACCACCACCACCTAATACTTCTGTTTCCCATCAAGAGTGGAGGCTTCAGGCTCAAGTTCTCCATCACTTTCTACTTGCATCCAGTATACTTCCCCATTTTGGCCCACTGAGTCATCCCTCAACAACAGCCATTTTTGCAGCACCTGGCCCAGCCATTAAGTGCAAAAACTCAACCACTTCTGAAGTGGGTCCTTTGAAGGTCACCAAGGAATGATTGAAATCCAAGGCAAGTATTCCAACCAGATTCAGAGTTCAGAAGCACTCACATATCCATTTTCTTCCTTGGCAAGTAGGAGCTGGAGATCTGGTGCATGATCACCAGGGCTGGGTAGAGGGACAGTGCCAGGCACAGGTACCAAGCTGCATCTCTGATCTGGGCCTGGAACCACACTGAGTACATGCCCAGAATCACTGTAACTGTAGCCATCAGGTAGACCACCAGTCCACATGTCAAATGGTAGAGCTTGAGGCGAGCCACCCTGGAGACCCTGGCTGCCCGGGGACAAAGTAGGCAGAGCCCACATAGTGCCTGGCCGCCAGTAGCCAGTAATGTCAGTGCTCCTAGCCAGCTGTGCCAGGATACCAGATGGGGCAGCTCACTTCGCATCTTGCTGGAGATGATGAAGCCCAGGCCTAGGGCAGCGCAGAGAATGGCTAGGGTCTGCCCTGCCCAGTGGAGCCAGATCCAGGCCTTTCGGGAGCAGAAGAGGAACACAGAATGCTCAGGTGAGAAGAGGAGGATGGCCTCAGCCATGAAGAGGCAGAACTGTGAACACAGGAGAGGGCCAGTGAGCCTCATGTCTGGCTTGGAGGCCTGAGAAAAAGGAGGTTCTCTCATGTGTCCATGCAAAGAGGACAAAGGATAGAGGCTAAGAACTTCACCAAGACCGTCTGCTTCATAAAGTCAGCCTTGGAATAACTAAGAATTAGCACTTCAGTGCATGTGTTATCATTCAGGCTAATATCCCCCTCCCATTTCTTGGCCAGTGTAACAGTTCAAGATGTTAAACTTCCTCCTGACCTTTGGGGGTAAGCGAGGCCAATAACTGGATATTTCCAATTCAATTTCCTCCTTTCAGGCCCCATTGGAGAAATATGTTCCATATCCACCCATCCTTCTCAACCACCTCACACTTTATCTATGGCCCAGCCCTCCACATTTCCCAATCCCACAGGCTGCAGGGAAAAAATGAGGCCCTAGCTTCTCCACCACCTATCTCCTTCTTCTCCTTTAGGTATCTTAGAAAAGGCTGAGCCTTCTAAAACCTGGATGCTTCTTCAGAGGTGAAACTAAGCTTATCTAAACAAATTAGTTGCAGATAGAATCGCCCAAACTCACCGCCAAGGCCATGAATACAGGGTGCCAGGAGAAAAGACCTAAGAATCAAAGAGAACAGGCTGATGGTTGGGTTCCATTGTTCCTGCCCATGTGGCTAAGTGGACCCCAAAGAATCTGGTCTCAGTGCAAAAGTCAGCATACCATCCCCAAGCCTAATCAAGAATGAGGAACTCAGGGCAAAGTGAAGAGGCCAAGAGGGCCACCCTGAAAACACACAACTTGGCCTGAGTTCCTTATTTGGCACCTCTCAGTTGTCAGTCCAGTCCTCAGCCTCCCTCCTTAACTGCATGTTTCATCAGGATGCAGCTGTTCAATCGTCGGCCTTTTCCCCCTACAGCATCCAAAGTCCCACGTTTCCAGGATTCCCCGGGCCCCGCCCACCAGGCTCTTAAAACCCCTCAGCGGCTCGCCCTTCCACTGCTTATGGGGTCCCCCGCTCCACGTTTCTCAACGCACTCCAGCGCTGCCCCTCCAGCACCTCGGCTCCGCCCCCTTCCGTGGCCCCGCCCCGCACACTCACTGGTTCCTGGCCGGGACAGCGCAGTCAGGAAGATGGTGAAGCCCAAAGCTACCAGGTGGGCCAAGATCCCACTGCCTCTCCGTAGCCAGCGGGTCAGTCTCGGCTCCCTCGCTGGAGCGGGAACCAGACCTACCTCCAGGGGCTGCATGGCCGTACCGGGCCGGCCCGCACAGTCCAGCTGCCAGAGCCGTCTTCCGGGTTTGCAATCGCGGAGGCGGTTGCGGCGGCTGCAGGAGAGGCTCCTCCCGGGGGACGCTGCCRGCAGTGCGGCAGATACGCCCACAGCGCCCTCTGGGGGCTGGGGGAGAAGCGCGTCTGCCCAGAGGGTCTGCTCCCCTGAGACCCCTCACAGGACAGCTTGCAGCCCAGCTTCTTTGTAGCTGTGTCTACAAGGGCCTGTATCTCAAGCCGTCTATGAAAATTACTTATGTGGCAGCTGATTTCAGTGAAACCACTTGGTATGGTGACCCAAGAGTGTGAAAGTGGTGTCCTGAGCAGCTTTCCAGAAGTACTGGATTGCCCTCGCTGTTCACTCTCCTACTATTTTCTCTTCTGGTTTGTTAAGGGAACAAGATTCCCCCCTGCCTAAAAGCAAGGAAGAATAAAAGGAAAGGACAAGGACAAAAAATAGTGCCTGTATGTTGTGAATTTAGGTTTGAAGAGCAAAGGCAGGAGATGCAAGTCTCATCCCCCATCTGCACAGTAGCTGTCCCCAGAGATACTCGGAAGAACTAGGGCACTCCCAGTCCTTGCCGCCCCCACAACAGCTGCTCAGCCCTGAGGAGCAAGGTGATCCTCAGCAACCAAGCCTCCCACACCCCAAGTTCTGCAAGTGATCTCCCTTTCCCCCTCCCATCTCCAAAAAAGATGTGGTCCAACCCAAGGAGGCCGTACCTGGAGAGGATCTAAGTCCTTAGGGGCACACTCACAGGCCAGGAAGAGACAAAAACAAGCTGTCCAGTATAAATCAAGGACATCCTGAGAGCAATTCCTAACTCAGGTCAAGCTTAAGTGGTCGAGAAAATGAGGTTGCTGTCAGACACAGTGGCACACACCTTTAATCCCATCTACTCAGGAAGCCAAGGCGGGAGGATTGTGACTTTGAGGTCAGTCTCAGCAACTTAGCAGGATCCTATCTCAAAAGTAAAAAATAAAAAGAGCTGGGATGTAGCTCTGGGGTAGAGCACTTGCCTAGCACGCACGAGGCCTTGGGTTCAATCCCCAGTATGAGAGAAAGGAAGGAAGGAAACAAAAGGAAAAGAGGCTGCTGGTAGGAAGTGGGAAAGGGAAGAGGTAGCTGAGAAACTGAGGCACTTATTTAGAGAGGGATGGAGACCTACAGCTGCTGAAAGTCCAGAAAAGCACCACAACCCAACTCCCACAGACTCAGGGCAGAAACCCAAGATACAGCCAGAGGAGTGGCTCTCCCCACTCTCCAGTTTTCCTTCCCAGTGGGACCAGAGATTCAGGGGAGACTGCTCACTAAGAGACACATGCCCATCATCCTATCTGAAAAAAAGACTCTCCTGTGATACAAACTCCAGAAGTGTGTGTGTGTGTAAAAGACACCTATTTCCAGGCAAATACTGGGAGCTGGAGTCTGGGTGCCTATCATCTCAACCTCCTAGGGTGTGGCTGGGGACAGTAAAGATACTCATTTTGCTACATTGTTTTTCTTCCTTTTCTATGTTTCTGTTTTTATATTTTCTTAGCAGCAACAGAACAGGGAGTCAGTCTTGAGGTATTTTAAAGAGTTTTTTTTTTCTTAAAAAAAAATAATATAAAGTTATAAAAAGCGGCAGCAGCCTGGGGCCCGGATCTGGAAGGGAGGAGGTGCTGGCGGCTCCATTGCAGTGGGCAGGCACTTTCTTGTTAATGGGCTTTTGACTGTAGGAAGACAAGAGGCAAGAGACAGGATCAGGGTGGGGGCCTACCAGTTGTCCTACCCACTGAACTGGGTAAACCAAAGGGCTAACTCTTGATTTCCTTCTGCTGGCCTGGTAAGTCAAACAGAGCAAGAGCAAGGTGAATGCCAGCTCAAAAGGGGTGGCCTGGAGTTGAGGCTGGAGAGCACACATGCACACACACACAGAGTTAGGACCACAACAGCTGTCAAAAATGTGCTTTCCTGTGGGTGTCAGGGAAGTCAGTATGCATCTGGCTCATGCCTAAATAGGGAGAACATTTCTCTGTCCCACCTCCCATGAGACCCTCCTGGAAGACATCCCATGGACAGACCAACAGGCGATTCCAGAGCTGTTATCAGAAAAGACAAAGAAACCTAGCTGCAGCTTTACTAGAAACCCTGGAGAACCTGCCTATCATTATAGAACCTGGGGGTGGGCACATGTACAAGGTGGGCACTCATGCTTATGTGGACCTTGAGTTATGAACTTGCCCTTCAATGCCACAATGCCTAAAGGAAGAAGCAAAGAACAAGACACCAGCCCTCCCACCTGGCTGCTCAGCATGTTGAGCCACAGCTCGGGGACCCAAACTCCCTTTCCTTCAGGGAACAGAAGTACTACCAGGCTCTGGAATGGGAGCCACAGCCAATTCAGAAAGAAGTAGCCCTTTGGTTACAGCAAAACCTAGGTCAGGGGTGCTCAGCATGTCTTGAGAATAAGGGAGAAGACTATTGATAGGGGAACCATTTGGCAAAAGTGAGGGTTGCCTGCAAAGGGCTAACCTACCTCTGTCTAAAGTAGATGGCTTAGGAACTCTTTCCCTTTCTTCCCTTCCCTGCATAGCCATCTACCTGGCACTTTCTCCATGTCAGGTACCCACTGTGTTCCCCACCTCAGCCTTTCTGACCCCTCTCTGCCACACTCTCCAGGAAGGTGGGCTGGTACCTTCAGTGTAGAGCACTTCTCCTCAAAGGCCAGGGCCGGGCCCGGCTTCTTGCGGCGCACAGAGCAGGTCCCTTCAGAAGGGGCACCAGCCTGACAGTGCTTGGCCTTCACTGGCCGGCAGTAAGTGGCCAGGTTTTTCCGCTTCTTGGCTACCTCTTCCTCAGAGAGGCAGTTGTTTGGCAGGGCCTTGGCTGGGTGTCCAGCTGCTCCCCGGTTCTCCAGCTGAGAAGCCTTGACTGGTGTGGGGAGTGGATGAGGGGAACCCCGACAGTCCAGGGGTCCTGCACGCTTCACTCTTGGCCCCACAGTCCCATTAAGTCCCATGCCCAGGGTTGTTTTAGTCTTGGCTGAGAGGCCCCGGCAGCCAGAGGGTTTGCCTTTTCCAGTGGGCTCCAGGATACATGTCCGTTTGAAAGTGGTGGGACCAGGGGACAACTTCCGCTTTCGCGAAGGGGCCTCCACCTCTGCCCCATCCTTGCCTTTGGATGACTTGCTAGCCTTGGAAGGCGGCAGCTTGCTGAAGGACGGGGATGGCGTGTTGGCAGGCAGTGGTGAGGTGATGGCCTGGCTGCCGCCCATGCACTCCGCCTGGCTGCAAGCGGCTGCCACACTGGGGGAGCCTGCAGTGTAGCTGGGGACAAGGCTGTCCTTGGTGGGGGGTGTGGAGACTGGGCAGGCGGGTCTGGGGGGTGGGCCTGGAAGTCGGGGGCAGCTGCCCATGGAAGATGGGCTCAGGGGAGCAGATAAGGGGGAGGTGACAAGGTGGGATGGAGGTTCAACCGCCGGTGGGATCTTCCTGCAGTAAAAAGAGAGCCCCACTGTGACTGCCAAGCGAATAAGAGGGCCTCCCCAACACATACCAGTTTCTCTGCCCCGCCTAGAAATGGCCAACAGAGCCCCAGAGTTGCTGCCATCTGCTGGGAGACACTGGAATTGAGGGTTAGGAAGAAGGCTCAGGGAAATATATACTCAAACTGTATAAAATATGTGAACTAGTGTGCAGACTCATAAACAACTGCATTTTAAGACTCTACTTGAGCATCCCCTATCCCAAGTTACCCAAAAGGTACTGCAAGTGATAGCTAAGGGTCTAGACTCAACCCCAGACCACCCACCCATTCATGCCCTGTTCCAGGCTGCCAAAATCCCCCACCCCTGGCAAACAGCCAAGGCACACCAAAGAGCATGTGTGAAAGATCTGGGTTTCTGAAGTCTTGTTCACCAAGGCCTGGGAAGGGGCATTCCAGGCCCAAGAAACTCACTTCCACATGTGTGAGCTGAGGTGCCGTTCCAGCATGGAGCTGAGTGCTGAGCAGAACCGGTCCAGCCGGCGGCTAAACACATAGCATCCTGGGCTCACCAGCCGGCTCCCAAAGGTACAGAACTAGAGGTAGAAAAAGGTGGTGGTTAGTGGGGCCTGAGAAACAGGGAGGGCATCTGCACAAAAGATCTGACCTCTCCCCATACTGTGGGCCAGAAAGACTGGCCACCCCCACCCCAGGCCCTGCCCCAGGTCCTTACCGCCTGTGGCCGCGGGGGCCGGGTTGCATAATGGCAGTCAGGGGAGAGGTGGAGGTCCTCAGATGTCCCCTCCTCCTCACTCTCCTCGCTGGAGGCCTGGGCCCCACCCCGGGGCAGGGGGAAGGGGAACAGGCCTGGGTCCCCATCACCACCACAGGGGCCTTCATCATCCAACTCACTTTCAGAGGAGGCCCGGGACCTGGAAGGGCCAAAGGGGATGTGAGGGCAATGTGACTGGTGTGGGGTCAGGGTGGGGGAGTCCCTGAACCCGCCAAGCTCAAAAAGCCAGGGCAGACACCCTGCTGGGCAACCAGAGGAAGGAGGATAGGACAGGAGGGCATGACAGAGCTCACAGAGTAAGAGACAAGAGCCCAGGGCCACAGCTCCCAAGGGATTCTCTTCCCAGCCCCTTCAGTTCCCAGGCCCTGCCTCCTCAGGGGAAAAAATCTGCTCCCGATTCACTTCCTTCAGAAAATCTTCGGAGCTTAACTGCACCCAGCTCTGGTCAGCCCAGTCAACTCTCTCAACCCCCTTCTTGCATCACATATTCCTGTGAGCCTGTCTGGGAGCTGAGCCTGTGTTTCGTGTCTGCCCCTCATGTTACAGGCAAAGAGGCGTGTGTGTCTCCTTCGGCAAGGCAGGCTCTCCCCGGGATCCAGCGCAGCCTCTGCACACGAAGGGGCCAGTGAATGAATACATGGTAGGACTGCCTCACCCAGGACCCTAACCCTTTCAGCTCCCTAGTGAAAGTCTTGGCCTATTGGAAGTAGCTGGGAAAATGTTCATATCCTTGTGTTGGATCTGGCACACCACAGAGAGGCTAGGGTATTGTGGTAGCCTGGGCAGGAACAGGGAAATCACCTGCTTTCACACCACTGCCAGGGGCCTAGGTATCCCCCCACATTCAGGGTGGAGTGAGCACATCTTGCAGGACAGACACTTCCTGCACCTGTCTTCAGGGGTCCCTGGTGCCTTAGGGGCCAAGTATCCCCAAGTGAGATGGGCGTTGGATCCTGGACATACCTGGGCAGTGCACAGTATGGGTAGGTCTGCTTGGTGCGAGCAGAGAAGGTGCTGCTGGCAGCAGCCACAGCTGCCACAGCCTGGACTGAGGACGAAGATTCCTGGGAGGGGCGCTCAAGCACTGGCTCCTTGCGCCCTGGGCTCTTCTCCTTAGGAGACTCTCCTTTGCGGGAGTTGGCCTTCAGCTCTGCCACTAGCACATCAAAGTCCTTGGCCCGGCCCTGGACCTCCCGGCGCTGGTGTACCGAGTGGATCTAGAATACAGCAGGGTGGAGGGTGGGGAAGGGGTGTGAGCTGAGAGGTGAGGGGTAGCTGGGTGCTCTGGCCTGGGCAAGCTGAGGGGGGGTGTGAGTGTGTTTGGGATATATTTGTGTGTCTTTGTTTTACTCCCCCATGGAGCCAAAATCCTGTTTTGGGGTGGGAGAACCTGGAAGCTACTCCCTGCCTGCTGCTCCCATCTGCAACACTGGGGTGGCCTCCTCTTCCCTTCCCAGCCTCAACCCTGGATAACATCTAAATTCCTTTCCTAGCCCAGGTCCTGTGTCTGTGTTAGGCTCCCTCTCCATGCAGTAGAAATTGGGGTTACCTTGCAGGTCAACAGGCGGGTACAGATCTTTTTGGTCTCTGGATTTATGACCCCACACTGCCTATTGAGGTCGCACTCCTTCCCTGTGGGGAAAGTGGTTCCAGTGAGCATAAAGGCCATTTCTTAGAAACCCATGGGAGAACCTGGCCTTTTCCTCCAGGGGCCTGGGAAGAACTGGCTCTAAGGTGGAAGAGCCTCCAGCCCTCAGGTCTGAGGCTCCCCTTGCAGGAAACTCTTCAGGGTATCCAGATCTCTGCAGGGTATGTGACCCGTCCCTGTCCCCAGCCCTAGCCCAGGCATTTCAAGCTAACAGCAGGGCAGCACATATCAAGAAGCAAAAGCAGCCACAGGAATCTAGATGTAAGAAAGGAGGTAACAGTCAACTGCCAAAGGGGAGGAGAGTAACTTCACCTGCTTGGACATAGACAAGTGTCCTAGATTAGGAGACCTGGGCTAGAGAAGCTTTCCTTGGATCAAGGAGGTCAAGAGGTAACAGGGCTTCTGTACTCTGTAAGCTGTGTTGGTCAGGCCCAGTCCTTCCTGACTTCCAACCCATCTGGCCCAGGGTCAAAGCAGCCCAAAGGAGCCCCACAGGACCGCAACTACTCACGAGCCATCTTGCGGTGAGTTTTGGGGGGCAGCCTGGCCCCACCAGGCTCCTTCTCTGGGGGGCTGCCTTCGGCCCGGTGACTGGAACCCTCACCAGGGATTATCTCGATGCTCTCTCTGCCAGGAGGTTCTTTAGAAGGGAGAGCCATAGGGGCTTTTCCAGGGGAGTCCTTAGGGAGGCTGCCTGGCTGGCTGAGGAAAGCAGAGGGTGGGGCCACCCTGATTCCATGTCCATCAGGCTTCGGGAGACTGGACATCTTCTCCAGATTCACCACAGGCACGAAAAGGCTACACGTGGAGAGAGGGTATGGGCTGGGGGGTGGGGAGGCTGGGCCTGGACCCTAGCCCAGAGCCATCTCCTTCCTGGCCCTGAAACTTGGGTGGGCTCCAGGAGGTATGTTTAAAATGGGAAAAGGGAAGCCCACATTGCCTGGAACACATGGGAGGGAGCTGCAGATGGGGTTAGCTGCCTCCACTGGTGTCAACCCCTCCCTGGGTCAGGGTTGGTCTTGGGGAGTCTCCAACCTCTTCTTACCAGAGGTTGTCCTTCTGGGTCTTCTCAGGAGGCTGATGGCCGCGGCTCCGGGACCCCTGGCCCTTCTCCCTGGAGGAGGTTTTGGTGGAACCTGGGGCCCTACAAGCTGGGCCCTGCCCATTCACTACATGGCATTTCTGAGAGCTGGCAGGGGCTGGAGGTGGGGGTGGGGCCCGGGTATAAAGCTTGCTGAGGGGCCCATGTCTTCTTTCTGTCACCAGGAGGTGGAGAGAGTAATCAAGGTAAGTGGTATAAACTGCCTCCTTCCCCAGCCTCCTAACCTCCCCCGTAGACTCGAATCAGAGAATCTGAGTTTCCATAACTTAGACTGTGAATTTGCCTCCTTCCCTTTTTACTTTGAGCCATCAAAACTCAGTATTTTAGACCCAGCTTCCTGAACTTCTTAAGTCCACTGGATACTAGCAGTTTGTTTGAACAATAAACCCTACCCCCCACCCCACAATGCTCTGAATCTACCTCCAGGCCCTTCCTATCCCTAGAACTGCCCTGTACTACCCCATATGACCTCCCAACTGACCCTGTGCTAAGAGTTCCCTGTTCCACCTTCCCCTTAGTTCCTCCCTGGGGCTCCTCTCACCGCAGTGCTTCTGGAAAGCTTGAGGCTTCACCACCTGGCTGCAATGGTTACACACAACCAAATAGAAGTCATCATGGGCAGGGCAATGCCCGAAGATAGACATGTCTGCAATGACAGAAGCCCTTGTCACTGGGGCTGGGGACTCCATTCCCTGTAAGATCAGAGAGCATTCCCACCCCACCACTTTGAAGGCACTTCACCTCCCAATTGATGCTCCCAGTTCTAGGTTTCATTCTAATGAATCCCAAAGTATATGGGCGCCAATCACCTATAGCTAGTATCTCCAACAACAGGTCACAGGAGCCAGGGAAATTGGCTGACTCAGATCTAGCAATGAGGATCCCAAACTTGCTGCTTCAAGTGAGTGTGGTGGCAGAGGGGAGGGTGGTCCTGTCTGCCCTGAGTTCCAGCCCTAATGTGTGTTAAGTCCTACCTTCTTTAATGAGGGTCATAGCATCCAATTTCTTCATGTTTTTGCTACTTTCCTCCAGCTCAGCCCCTGGAGGAAAAACACAGCTCAGAAGTCCACCCCCTTCCCAGATCCCCATCTCCTTCCCAAGTGGGGCCTGCAGCCCAGCACTGAGAAGCCCATCTCCCTAAAGAGTTCTTGATACTCAAAATCACTAGGAGAACCTTTCGGTAGATCCTGCTCAAGTTCCCATTTTTCCTTCACCTGCTGTCTCTGAAATAAGCTAAGAAGAATCCAGCCACCTGTATCATGGACCCTTTACTCCAAAGGCATGGATCAGGGTTCCACTGCTGACTAGTTGGATGAATATGGGTAAATATCTCTTTTCTGAGGTTCAATTCTCCACTTAAAATGGAAATGATCCTAATTTTTTCCCTGGAGATCTGAGTCCCTCCATGAGATTTCTCACAGGGGTCCTGTTACTCCGTGACATCCAGATACTCTCCCAGGTAACCACCCCCATAAACTCAAGTTTGCTCCACCTGAGTTAGAACAGCATTGTCAATGTTATACCCAGTTTCTAAGGTCCTGCCCTGATAGAACGGTCACAGACCAGGGAAACTGCTGCCTTTGACCCTTTTGGCATCTTCAAAGTCTCCTTGGTTAGTTACCAAGCCCCTCCCCTTCTTAGAGGGGCTTTGCTCAGGGCTGCCCTTGTACCTCAGTTTCTGGGTTAATGACAAAAACATCTTAGCTGCAAAGCATCTTTTTCCCCATCCCCCTCCCTTTCTCCTCCCCCTCCCTCTCTACACCCCCTCCCTGTCCCTTGGAAAAAAAAATCAATTCTGAGTCACCAAACCCATCTGACTCCATTTCCGGTTCTCAATGCACCCAGACCCTGACAATGGCCCCATCTTTGCCCACCCAACATGGGCTAGTTCCAGGGTGGCCTGTGGTCCCACTTAGATCTGCTTTCTGTTACCTACTAACAGATTTACCCCTTTCTTAGATGAGAAGAATGTTGGAAATCTTATATAATGTCTACACATAAGGGGTTGTGAGTTAGGCATTCAAGAGACAAGGGGCAGCTCCCACTCTTTTTAATCAGTTAAATCCAAGTGTGGGGAATGATGGACCCAACACGACTGGGAGTCAGATGTCTCAGTAGAGAACAAGTGTCATTAGAGACCGCTCCATGAGGTTTTCTCCTCCACCCCTTCTCACTTGCAAACTTCTTCAGGGGTGTGATGCCTGCTGTCACCTCCAAAGGCCACGAGGCCAGGTGCTCCCTGGGGCCCAGGAGACAAAGATCAGAAGAAGGGGTTGTAGGCCCACTCACCAAAGGCACTCAAGAGCCTACAGAACGTAGGAAAGAGTCAAGAGGTAGGGCAAGACATCCAGGAAAGGACAGAGGACTGAAGGCATGGATGGATGGACTGAAAGAGGGAGGGTGTGAGGGAGGATAGATAGAAGGATGGATGGAGGAACTATGCGGAGGGGGCGGGGGTCCAGAAGCACCGCAGCCGTCAGGCAAACGCCAAAAAGGAGCAGGAAATGTGGGGCAAAAGGCAAAAGAACAAGAGCTTGGGGAGGGGGGCACAGAAGTGGGGTGCGTGGGAAACACGTGGAGAGGACTGTTGCGGATGGAGACAGCTGGAGCAGGTGCACGAGGGGCGGGAGCTGGAGGCCAGCAGACAAGAAGAAAGATAAAGGCAAGTAAATGTGGAGGCAGGTGGTGGCACCGGCAGAGACAGAGGTGGGCAGGGTGGGTTGAGAGCGGTGAGCCGGCGCTAGGACCCGGAGGCGCGAAGGTAACAGAGCGGGCGGGCACTAGGACCCGGCGGGTCCTTTGTTTGGGGGGCCGGGGAGCCGGACGGCGGCTCCAGTCGGCGGCTCCCCTCTGCTGGCGGGGGCCCGGAGGGGGGGAGGGGAGATGGTGATGGGGTCCCCGGACTCTAAGGTGGCTGTACTCACCATCAGCCGCAGGCAGGTCGGCCCGCTCCACCCACGAGCTCCAACTCTGTCCCGCGAAGTCATCGAGACTCGGCACCCGCCGCTCCAGAGCGGCCATTGCTGCCGCCGCGCGTTCACGCACCGCCATCACCGCCGCGGACGCGCGCCCGCCCCGGCGCCGCCGCCGCGCGGCCCCCTCCCCCCTGCCCCGCCGCGGGCACGCCTCCCCTCTCCCCCTACCTTTCCAATTCACTCTCTGCGCAAGCACAACTCAGGTCGCCTGCCCCCTCCTCCTCCTTCTCCTCCTCCTCCACCTCCTCCTCCTCCTTCCCGCATAGCCTTCTGGGAAATGTAGTTCCGGCGCGGGTGCTGTTTCCTACCGAGTTTGCCGCAAGAGCCCTTCCGAAAGGCACGTTTGCAGGCGGAATAGAAAAGACCAAAGCCCCAGGATCCCCTCTCCTAAATCTTGTGCACACATTCTCTGTACCACGAGTCACTCTCCCAAGCTCACTACACACACACACCCATCCCCAGACCTCTCTCTGCCAAAGAAGCCCCTCTAAGCAGTGCATCCGCCAGCTGGCTGGCGCCCCTTCCCGGGCTGGCGGCCACGAAGCGACTCCGCTCCCCCGTAGATCGAATAGGGTAGGTGCAGGGAGGTGGGCGCTGTGAATCAGAAGGGCAAGGGGAGGGAGTCTGTAGGATGTGCTGAAGGACACAGGGGTTGGTGTGGGGGAGGGCCTCGGCCCCTGTGTAGTTCCTCCTCTGTGGGAAACCCCCGTTGCCCTAATGCAGGGCAGATGATTGGAGTACCGTTGTCTGGGTTTGGGAGGACCTGGCTGAGCTGATCAAGATCACCTGTCAGGATGACAGAAGGCTATCTCCGAGCCAGAGCCAGCCCCGGAACTAGGGTGGCCCCGAGGCTGCTGGTTTTTGCAGCGTCTTTGCTGATCCGTCTCTCTCCTCCTGAGAACTGCGATCGATACCCTGCACCGCCTCTTCCCAAACCCTGGCTGGACCCTGACTCCATCCATCATTTTGGCTTCTTTTTCTAATGAATATTTTCTCTGCTATAAGGGCTGCTACTGAAGCCTTAGCATAGGAAGATTTCTCATCAGATTTGTCATTTTCCTTGCTAAGGCCTGGAAAGTACCTTAATCATCTACCTCTTTCCTCTCCGCAGCTGTTAACATTTTATTCCCATCCTCACACAAGAGACAAAAGTCTTCCACCTCATTAGAAAAGAAATACTAATCCTCTTTTTTCCTCCTCCACCCCTCACACTTTACCCTATATCCCTTTAGCTAAGAGGAAACCAGGTGTGAGAGCAAATAAGTCAAGGTCTATGAATTCAAAACCTCAGACTTTCATCCAGGGAAGGTTTAAGTAGTTCAAAAATAATATTTGAGGGTCTTAACCAGACATCCATGGATGATGCCTAGGGCGCCCAGTAACCTGGTGAAATTGAATATAAAATCATGCTCAAGTGCATTTTTCTAGGGAATGTTAATGTAGAATGCAACTGTCTGGGGAGTGGGTAGAGGTGCAAGTTTGTTCAGCAAGAACCTTATAGTAAAGAGGAAAGCATATGGCCCTCAACTCATGACAGGAAGCTTGTTTGGGTCACAGATGGTAGGAAAGCAAATGGAAACAGCATTGTGGAAGTCACTATCTCTCGCCTTTTGAGTTTGCTCCAGATTTGCTAACGAGTCAGTTGCTTTGGACTAATTGGGTGCCACCAGAAGAGGCAGTGTCACCAGACTGGGGCCTGCCAGGAACAACTGCTCATCCAGCAGACTCTATTGCTTGGGGTGCAGAGTGGAGGGGAGTGGAATGTTATCTTGGTAGAAATGTTGATATCTGTCCAAGAACTTAAAGCAAGGGAGAGGAAGAGGGGGGAAAAATTCCCAGAAGGGCTCCAGTCTTGGCTCCTTCATTGCAAATGCTTGCAGCACTGTTTATTCAAATGTGTAATAACAAGCACCAGAAAACAACATGCAACATTCTCCCCCCACCCCTGACCTGCAATCCCAGAAGTAGGAGACCTATGACCACAATGTTGAAGGGAACTCATGTTCAGGAAAGGTTCAAGGTGGGCATTCTGGCAGGGCCAGTTTCTACCAGGGCAAAGGGCAAGTGCCCTGCCTTTTGGCCTCCTGCAGTATCTGGAGAAACCAGACACCTTCTGCTACCTCAGGCCCCAATAGGCAAAGCAGTGATGCCAGCCCTGGTTGGAGGGCATATGACTCCTATAAGGACAACCCTGTCCTTGGCACTTGGCCCAGGCAGCCCTCTGGAGGTAATGAAGTGAACTGGCCTTTTAGGGAGGCCATGGAGAGAGAGAGAGAGAGAGAGAGAGAGAGAGAGAGAGAGAGAGAGAGAGAGGCCATAGTCTCTTCTGGCTAAGAAGAATCAGCCTCTTTAGGAGAAGGAAGAGTCTTCTCTGCTGCAGGGAGAATTCTGGGATTCCTCTGCAGGAGTGAATACCTACCCCTTTACCCAGCTGAAGGGCATTGCTACCTTCAGTCTCCAAATGAGAGTACTTTATCCATCACATTTCAAATGAATTATAAATACGGACACAATCCAAATAATAGAAGTAGTAGAAGCTGCTCACAGACCCCCACAGGGGCCAGCCTGAAGAGAAATGAAGGTCACCCCTTTATTCTCTGTGTCTCTGGCCATGTAGGCGAAACTGTCTCCCCTTGTCCTGGAGTAACTATGGGTACAACTCAGGACAGAGAGTTTCATATTTAGAAACATTCTCATCCCCATCTTCTTTCCTCCTTCCTCAAACCCCTTCCCAACATCTAAAAAACGAAAACAAATTGCTGAAGGACTCTGGAGCTTTGAAGGATATAAATCTCACACTTTCCCCATCAAGTGGGAAAACTCTGACCCAAAGGGGAAATAATTGGCCCTAAGTCAAAGGTGCTGACCCCCAGGTACTCCAATAATGCACATGTTACTATGGGTGGCACTGAGGAAGGTGAGGAGGTTGAAGGGGGTTAACTCAGTCCTGAGGACAGACTGGCATAGGACACATTCACCTTTGGGATGCTAAGTGGGCCAGTTGGCACTGGATTGGAAAATGGTTGAATTCTTCCCTCTTCATCCTTCCCTGAGCAGTCCGATGACTGGGGCAGATTGAAGTGTTCTGAGTGGGTAAGAAGTAGATGGCCCTTGCCCAGTTAGCATTCTCTGGCCTTGGAGTCTAGAGAGGGACTGAGGAGGTGTCAGGAAAAGGAGACACACCAAAGACAAATATGGAACTGGGTCCCAAAGTGAAGAAGCACCAATAACATCAGGCTGCCCTGGACTGGGGAGGGGATAGACCCTGGCAAAAATGAGGAAGCAGGGGAGGATGGGAAGACAATGGAGAGGGCACATCCTTTTGTAAAGATGAGAAGGGGGAAGTATGAGAGAAGGACTGTATAAGGAACCAGGGGGAAACAAGCAAAGAGTAAGGGGAAAATGGGCCCATCCATCCATGTCCTGGGGCTCTGGGGCAACTCAGCCTCATGATGTCCTTCTGGCCCTTCCAGAGCCCCTATCTGGCCCCACAGGAATGAAAGGAAGGCCTGGACAGACTTCAAAAAGGATCTCGAATGCCTCAGACCCAAGAGGCAGGGGAAGGGAGGTGAACCCGGTGGTTGGGTGAGGGGACCTGAAATGGAGATGCTCCTAAGCCCTTCATCTTGTGTCCCAAGTGTGAGATGAGACCAAGCCCAAGAAAGACAGGAAGGAAGGTAAAATTTTCTAAGGTAAGTATAGTTTAGAGTGCTGGTGAAAAGTGCCCCACCCTGGGGGTCGGAGGACCAAGGGGATAAAAGAAACTATTTCTGTCAGCAAGTTTCCTGGCAAGTTTTTTCCTCAAGTTGCAACTCAGTTGCCATTTATCTGCTCCCATTGAGTTCAGGCTTCATCTAGACGCTCTAAAGGCCCTTTTTTAGGCTACTGTGCCTCCCTGGTTCACACATGGTGGGCTCTGTGAGCAAAGAGAAGCCAGAGAAGAGTGGGAAGCACATTGGACTCTGGGAAGGCTGGAGATCAGTCAGTACACAAGAAGCACTGAGCTCCTGCCATCTGGGGCTCCAGCAAGAGGAGGGATAGGAAGCCATGGGGTGGGCTGCCCAGGTTTCCAATAGCTGACATCTGCCCATCTGTAGTCCCAAAGCTCAAAGCCCAGAATGATGGGGGAAGGGAGTTGGAGGAGGAAGAGGAGGTCCTGGGAGCTGTTGGTGTTGAAGAGGTGCTGTCCAGTTCAGGAGTAGCCAGGCTGGGACTGTTTACTGCTTCTCCACTGCTCCCTGCTCAGCTGCACTCTCCTGGCTGGGGCCCTGGCCCTGGTCCTGGCCCTGGCCCTGCCCGTGCCACGGGGTCTCCTTGAACACAAACCAACAGTTCCCGGCCCACAGGAAGAAGTTGATAAAGCCGAAGAGCTGCAAAGGACATCAGGGGAGTATGTGAGAATAGTAGGGGAGGGATAGAATGAGAACAGGGAGTGGGGAGTTCCTGTGTTGGTGTAAGAAGCTCAGAGGACTAGAAAGACTAAGCAAGCTGGGTATAGAAGTAGGATTCAACGCCATCTCCCGTTAAGGGATTTCCTGGCAACTCTGTCCACAGCATGCACCCAAGATGTAGCTTGGTCACTAGCCCAATCTTGCTGGTAAAGAGGTTATCATGCAAAGCATAGCAAGGATCCAGTAGTCAGGGGCCAGCAGGGCTTCCCACAGCAATACTAGGGGCCTGCTTGGAATACCTTCTGTTGGGTGAGTTTGACTGGAGCTGTCCAAGGTGCTTCTTCCCTAGGACCAGGGACTCAGCCAGGGCTATATTCAATATTTGTTTAAAATGTTTTAAAAACCTAACAGCAGGAAGTATTTAGGAGAAGGTGTACTGATGTTTGCAATTGACTTTGAAATGCATTAAAAATGGATTGATGAGAGAAGGTGGATAGGTAAATAATAAAGCAAGTCTAATACAATGTTAATGGGAGAGCCTAGGGGGTGAGCATCTGGATGTTCACCATGAAATCCCTTCAAGTTTAATGTATATGTGAATTTTTTTGCAATAAAATGTTGCGGGGGGAACCTGTGAGTGGAGTTCCAG